ACTTTGACCCCCGGGACCCCTCCCCAATTGACCCCGGGACCCCTCCCCAATTCGGGCCCCGCCGGCTCCTCTTTGTCTCGGCTCGGGCCCGTGTTTGGGGTTTGGGGCTTTTTTCCCATATTTTGGGTTTTTCCCCCATTATTTGGGTTTTTTTTTTTCCTCTTATTTTGGATTTTTTTCCTACTTTGGGGGCTTTTCCCCCATCCTTTGGGGTCTTTTCCCCCCATTCTTTTGGGGGTTTTTCCTATTCTTTGGGGTTTTTCCCATTCTTTTGGGGGTTTTTCCCGTTCTTTGGGGTCTTTCCCCCCATCTTTTGGGATTTTCCCGATTCTTTGGGGGTTTTTCCCGTTTTTTGGGTTTTGCCCCCCTCGTTTAGGGTCTTTCCCCCATTCTTTGGGATTTTATCCATCCTTTGGGGTCTTTTCCCAATTCTTTGGAATTTCCCCCATCCTTTTGGGGTTTTTTCCCATTCTTTGGGGTTTTTTTCATTTTTTTGGGGTTTTCCTCCCCATCCTTTTGGGTTTTTTCCCATTCTTTGGGGTTTTTCCCGTTTTTTTGGGGTTTTCCTCCCCATCCTTTTGGGTTTTTTCCCATTCTTTGGGGTTTTTCCCGTTTTTTTGGGGTTTTCCTCCCCATCCTTTTGGGGTTTTTCCCCGTTCTTTGGGTTTTTTCCCGGTTTTTTTGGGGGGTTTTTCCATTATTTTGGGTTTTTTTCCCATTTTTTGGGTTTTCCCCCCATCCTTTCGGGATTTCCCTCCTCTCTTTGTGCTCAGCCTCCCCCCGTCCTCATTAACCCCCGGCATTAATTAACCCCTCCATACCGGGATGGGGGGGAAACTGAGGCACGGCGGCTCCCGGTGCCCGTTCCGGTTCCCGGTCCCACCCCCTTCCCTGGCCCCAAATCCCCGTTTCCGACGGGAATTCCGCCCGCTCGCCCCCCCCACCCGCTGTAATTAGCGGTTAATTAGGTTAATTGTGCCGGGCGCTCCCCTCACTTCCCTCTCTCCTCCCGCCCCCCCCCCCCTTCGCTCCCCTCACCTCCCTCTCTCCTCCCGTCCCCTCCCCGTTTCCCCCTCCCCATTCCCGGTGTTTCCCCTCCCCCCATTCCCGTTATTTCTTCTCCCATCCCCATTTTCCCCCTCCCCAATTCCCGTATTTCCCCCCAATCCCATATT